ATCAGGCAACGAAACTATACCATATTGTTTTTTTATTTTCTTTTCTTCTAGTGTTCTCTAGGTAATTTATTTCTCCCTCTTGTATTTCTTCTAGCATCTCCGCTAGGTCCTCCCCTACATCTTTAATGATGTTTTCCACACCTTTATCTTTCGCTTCTTTTTTTTGTAAATATTATACAGTTCTTTTTTTCTACTGTGTCTAGTAGCCCCGCTTGTTCCCACTTTGTCTTTAAATATACTTTCCATTTACTGTCGCATATACTCATAAATGTTTTTTCGCTTTTCCCATGTTTAATGCCCTTTTGATTTTTTCTCGTTTCTGCTTCTCCTGCTCCTCTTTTAGTTTACAATGGTCACATTTTTTCGGTTATCCTATTATCCTTCCTTTTGTTGTTTGTGGATTTTATAATCCCTATCAATTTTTTTAAATCGGTTTCCACCACCAGCTTTTTTCCCTGTTCGCTAAATTTGCTAAATATTTCTTCGAGTTTTGTATTTAATTCCTCCAATTTCCTGTTTATTTTTTCTTGTTTTGTTTCATTTGGAGACCTTATGCTCTCCTCGAGCCTTTTCCTCTTGAGGTCATTTATCCTCTCTATGCTTTCGGCTTTTCTTTTCTTCATGTTTATCGTTTTCCCCTTCTTCTTTGTCAACCAGGAGAGTGGCGAGCGCACTCCCCTCGATATTCTGCCATACATCTTTAATTTTTTCAACTTCCTCCTGTGGTTGTTCTTCTCCTATATCTTCCTCATCGTTCTCACTATCTTCTATAATTTCGTCTCCTACTAATGTCGACTGCTTTGCCCTTTCTCTCCTGCTAATTCTTTTTTCAAGTCGTCATGCGACTGTTCCTCCCTACTCTTTTTTTCAATTTCCTTTGCATTGTCCATATTGTCTTGACGGTGGTCATCATTAGGTTTGTTCCAGCAGACATTTTCAGAACTAATTCTGAACCGATACTGAACTCTTGAGTGCGCATGTCAATTCTGAGTTAATTCAGATCTGGTTCATGTTTTGGCACTTGTTGGAACGCATTTTAATTAAATTAAAATTTTCATTTGATAGGTGACATTATAATATTGTTTTATTTTCACGATTTCATTATTTTTTCTTTCCGTTATTTTCAGGTGTTTGATCTCTGGGTATTGTTGAACTGAGATTTGTGGTGTAATATAATAACCAAAATTATGTAAATATATTTATATAGGTACTCCACATTTTAAACAAGTATAAATATTGGATTACAAAATATATAATTTTAGTTAAAGAAATGTTTATGTAATACATATTCTGGAATTACAGTCTCTGTTATCAAAACATTAAAAAATATATTGCCTTGGTAAGATTCATGAAGATTATACTATATTAGTTATATGTGTAGAGGTTATTACATTACATACATATTCTAAAATTTTAGAATTGAAATAATAAATGCTTTCTTTTTGGTGATGTTCAAATGGTCTTTAATCATGGAACATTGACATCTTTGTGCATGATAATTAATTAACCAACATAGTCCATATATCAGCTAACAACATTTATATAAAGAAAGGAGACTTTAAAGGTTAATAAATCTTTGGGATATAAAATATTGGCAATTATAACTAATACTGACAGAAATATAATAATAACAACCACAAAATGATAAATGGGATAAATTTAAATGATAATACAATAATAATGACGTTCGACATTCATTCATCAAGATTTACGCATGTGCGAACTGAAAATCCAGTTTAAAATTGAGGATCGAATTTACGATTCTTGATTGGTTCGGAATTAAAAGTTCTTTGGGCTAGAACACTGAACCAATAATCCCCTGGAACTTATAATCCTGAACTTCTCGTTGCTGGAACGCGTTTTATGTAAAGCGCACGCTCAGTACGATCCTGAATCAGTTCAAGATTTTGCTGGAACAAACCTATTGTTCACCCCCGTCTGTTTTGAATTTTTTATATTACTCATAAATGGTCCCACGAGCCGGGACGTGCTATACGTCTGGCACGGCAGTGCGCCCTTACCGCGCTAAGGCTTCGATACTTCGAGAGGTCGCCAGGTATCCCGAAGAGATCGTTTGTGATGCTCTAACCCTCGAATCTCTCATATATTTGGCACGATGCCTTCCACCGTGATAGTGGGGATTTTTTATCGAAGTTTACTCCCCTAGGCTTTTTTTTTCACGTTTGCCTCCGGACGCAGTATCAGTCTGTTTGAGCAGTCTGCTTGGAGTTTCCACATAACTGCTGCCTCCCCTGTTACGTGGAAATTGGAACAGGACGTGTGATCGAAAAGGTGACAGGTGGGATAAACGTATCTGCTACTCATATGGAATGTGTTGAAAGAATGTACTTTTTTTGAGGTGGACGAGATTGAAAAGTGGGATTGAGTAGCCATGGGAGAGTTGATAGGTAGATGATTGTGTTGCTGAAGGCGAAAAAGCGTCGCATCTGCTCGTCTCAGTTGCGACGCCCTTTAGTGCCCAGCGGCGGTGTCCGGCGCTCACCCGGTGCACAGACGCTGGACGCTGGGACTGTGTTTGGTTTCACTGGTCGTGCTCCCCTCACAAATTAAGGGACCAAGACCAATTACTCGGCCCTCTCACCAGCGTAGAGGAGAAAATTACAGTCCCAGAGAGGGATTTTTTTCTATACTAATTTATTTTTAAATGTAAATTGTGGCTTATTCCCAGTTTAATAGTAATTAATTTACAATGCCACAAGAAAATAGCTTCAGAACAATTGTAAGTTGTACATTCTAAGTTTTTCACTGAGACTAAATAATTTTTTTGGATATTGTTTATCTGGTTTTTGAGATTTATTTAATATTGTTGAGTATTGAAACATAATGATGTTTAACTATTCAAAAGAGTTTATATATAAAATCAATAAAAAGATTAAATATTTAATTATTCCAAACTTTTAGACATATATATATATATATATATATATATATATATATATATATATATATATATATATATATATATATATATATAATATAAGAGTAAGAAAAAAGATAAATAAATAAATAAATAAATAAATAAAATACCCTCATATAATTATTTCTTAATAATATTATCCATTATATATATATATATATATATATATATATATATGTATGTATATATATATATATATATATATATATATATATATATATATATATATATATATGTATATATATATATTATGATGTGTTGTTTCTGTATGAGCTATGAGTAAATTTGAATGATATATGTAAGTATAGGGTTTTTATCGCGGTTCTCAAAGAATTAGTTGGTAAGTACTTTTTAAATTATTTTTATTATAGCTATTATGAAACAAAACATATCTATCTAATATAAGCAATATCAATTTAAAACAATCTAGCTAAAATTTGAAATTCTTACAATTATTAAATTATTAACAAAATTTGGTACCTTTCTGTCACTGAACGCCTAAAGTTTTTCCAAAATTAAAGTTATTATCACCACTCGATATCTTCTTACTCGGCCTTGGTTATCCAACAATTTTAATATGTTTCTTCTTAATTATCTCCACTCACCATATAAATACATAAATTTAAATCCTTGTAATTTCCATATAATGTACTTCCAAATATACTAGATCTTGTGGTTGTACTACTGTTGAATGCTTACTTCAATGAATTAACTTCATACTGTCACTATATTACTGTAGTAATAATTAATCTCCAACTATATTTGACTTAATTAATTCATTTAACTTAATCAATGCCTTCTTATAGCTTCAAACTAATTCCCTTAATAATTGACTGTAACTTCTTGTAACTTAACTCACTTTAACTCAATTAATAATCTTCTTGTAACTAAATTCTTGAATTCTAACTTTACTGACTGATCTAACTGAACTAACTCAACTCCCTCCTGCTCCAAATTACACGGTTTATATATCTTTTTCATGGTTCCAAAATAATCTAGCAATAAATAAGGTTCGAATCATTCTATTTTTTTCTATCTGAACATTCTGGAATAAATGGAATGGTTTTTTGTCTGTGATGTATTATGCAAATAGTCCTATTGACATTTCTAGAATTTTCTCTGGTCTACTAATGTACAATTTACTTGACTTTAGGCTCTCCAGATCAGAATTACACTATTATATGTAACTTAAACATTTATATGAAATATATTTTTACTATTTTACATATGTAATTTTATTTTAAATTAAAATTCCAAATAATATTTTGACCAAACTTTTTGACACTACAGTGTATGTTTGGTTGCATATGCACATGGCTGACTTAAACATATCTAATATTAAATAAAATAAAGTAAAAACTTCTTAAACTTAATTCTTATGCCAAATTCTTAAAAATACCCTCATATAATTATTTCTTAATAATATTATCCAGTATATAATTTATAAATTATGTCCTTAACCACCATCCAAATAAATTTATTAATTAACATTGTATATCTGGTTGTATATACACTCGGCTGACTTAAATATATTTCTATGCTAATTTCTTTTATTTCTGTTCTCATTACAATATATATATATATATATATATATATATATATATATATATATATATATATATATATATATATATTATAACAGACAGTTATTGGGTCGGGAACGACCCAATACTAAGGAAGCAATAAAAAACGGGTGCTTCAGAGTGAGTGTCTTTTATTAAAAGTCAAGCTTTCGCCACATAATTTTGGGCTTCATCAGAACTTGCTGTAATGGAAAAACATTCTTTACAATCATCATAATTAAAGATGTTATTTTTAATATTACCTTAACGTTGACACTATTTCTTAGTGTAAATTTACATAATGATAAATCCTTAAAGTTCCTATAAGAAAATTGGTGGATTTTATCAGGAGCACAGAACTTCTTGGTGTAGGTTACGACGGGGTTTTGAGATAATTGTTTTCAATCAATTTCAATGTTAGATTGCATTTGTGGTTCTCTAATTTCAGAAATTCCAATTGTAAAAACTAATATAATAATATTTTTAGGATTAAAGAAGGAATGCTACAAGCTTTGGTCAATGAGCAAGAAAAATTGGTAAAAAATTCAATTGCTCAATTCATAGGTGTAATAGGAAAACATGAATTTCCGGAAAACTGTTGGCCAGAAGTTTTACAATTTATCCACACTTTAACAAGTGCTGAAAATAATTTTGATAAAGAGGTAAGCGATTAAAACAAAAGTATTTTTGTTTAAGCAATTCTCAGCTTAATATTACTAAACTATAAAGCCATCTATAGTTGGTTCAATATAAATCCCATGCACGTCATTATCTACCCCAGAGATCTAAGTAGTCATTGGTGTTGAATTACTAAAAACCCTGAATTTCTTGTAAATTAAATATATCACATAATTTATTACAACAAAACAGAATTATCCAATATCTGGGGTGTAATAGTTTGTAGAGCTTCTTTCCTTATGTTTAAAGCATCATGTTATTTAAAGCCATCTCTAATATGTCTTATAATAGTTTTTGGCAATTCCCGTATTAATTCTATAGCATTGAATATACAGTGGTATGATATTTTATGTCCATAATGATCTGGTAAAACATCAACAATGTATTTTGGAGGTGGCTTGTTTCTAAAAATAAATATTGATAACCTGTTTATTAATATCATCATTTTATTAAAGGAATTTGGCTTAAATCGTAATATTTTAAAGTGTAGAATATACTGATTCTTTTTGTCCAATTAAGGGCCCCCTGTGTATATACATATATATATATATATATATATATATATATACATATACAGGGTGGTCCTTAAGTAATTGTACAAAAAGAAACAGCAGATTCTACACTTTAAAATTTACGATTAAAGTTAACTTGCTTTAATAAAATGTTGATATTAAAAAAGATACAGGGTGTTAAGTGGAAATTTAAAATTTTATTTTTCGCTATAACTTTTATGTTTGTAAACATTTATGTATAAAAATTTGCAACTGGTTACTATTGAATATCAGGAATTATAATTTGATGCATACTTTGATATAGCTAATATCGATAATCGATATCGATAAGGGCGCCACATATGCCACATACGTGGCATATATTTGCACTTAACTTTTTTGTTCTTCAAGTTATCGGTATTTTTAATAAAAAAATATTAAAGATACATTATTTTAACAAAAAAAGGTATACTTGTTAATAACTTCAATTACTCCAGACAATGAAAGAAAAATAGATAAAAACATTAACACTTCTCAATTTTGTTAATAAAAATAAAATACCTTTAATAAAGTTAGTATTTAATGAAATATTAAATAAAATAAATATATCAGCAGGATAATTATTAATTGAATTTGATAAAATAACAGAATAATTGGATTTTACATCAAACATCTTACATTTTGTATTAAATTAAAGTCATAATCAAAACATTTTATTTACAAACCAAATTAAGAAATAGTTAAACTAAATAACATTAAATTTTTTGTCAAAGTAAGTGTTCGATATGTATACCATTTTCTTTAATTCATTTGTAACTACATTCCATAAAATATTGTCTCATATTAAATAGCACATTGGTTCTAAAGAAACTGCTGCAGTACTTATTATAAGTATAATAATCGGTATTCTTTTGGGATTTTTATGAATTAACTAATTATATTAATATCTTACCACATGACCAAGGAATATGACTATCACGAACAATCCAACGTTCGGAAAGTTTTTTTTTAAATACTGTTCTCACTCCATTTTCTCTGTAATGTGTTGGTGCCATCTTGTGTAAACCAAATATTTAGCCTTAAGTTTGATGACAATTCTTCCAATAAATCAATAAAATCATTTTATAAAAAATGTAAATAAATCTCACCATTCAAATTGCAAGGTAATTCTCATATCCGTGAAATATCATTATTATATATAATGATATTTAAAATAATATCATTGTATTGATAAATCATTACATTGATAATCAATAATTACCATTGGTAATTATTTTTTACGGATATGCGAATTACCTTGCAATTTAAATGTCGTGATTTATTTACATTTTTTATAAAATGATTTTATTAATTTATTGGAAGAATTGTCATCAAACTTAAATCGAAATATGTGGTTTCTACAAGATTGGTAATGGTACACCATTACATTACAGAGAAAGCGGAGTGAGACAGTATTTAAATACAACTTTTCTGAACGTTGGATTGTTCGTGGTAGTCATATTCATGTGGTGATATATTAATATAATGATGCTATTTAATATGAGACGATATTTTATGGAATATATTGACAAATGAATTAAAGAAAATGGTGGACATATTGAACACTTACTTTGACAAAAAGTTTAATGTTATTTAGTTTAACTATATCTTAATTTGGTTTGTAAATAAAATGTTTTGATTATGACTTTAATTTAATAGAAAACGTAAAATGTTTGATGTAAAATCCAATTATTCTGTTATTTATCAAATCCTATTATTTTATCCAGCTGAAATATTTATTTTATTTAACAATTCGTTAACCATTAACTTCATTAAAGGTATTTTATACCAAAATTCAGAAGTATTGATGTTTTTCTTTAATTTTCTTTCGTTCCTAGGGTAATTGCGATAAATCAGAATTATGTAGTTGATTTCTAAAATGCGATTATCTCGAAAACTGTTGAGTTTTGAAGATATTAAAAGTATACCTTTTTTTTTGTTAAAATAATGTATCTTTAATATTTTTTATTAAAAATATTGGTAGCTTGAAGAGCAAAAAAGTTACGTGCAAATTTATGCCACGTATGTGGTATATGTGGCGCCCTCTATCAGCTGCATCAAAGTATACATCAAATTATTAATTTTGATATTTAATAGTACAAAGTTGTAAATTTTTATACATAAAATAATTCAAATTCAAAAAGATATTTATGTTTAACTTTAAACACTTCTAATACTAGTAACGACTGACATAAATGTTTAGTGATTCAAATCAAAACGATCTCTGCATAATTTCAAATTATTAAAAAAAAAAAGAAAATCACATGTTGATTTTGAACTCTAATCGTCTGCGTCGCAGTGCCGAATTCTTACCACTAATCCACAAAGGATTAATGTTTATTCCGTGACAAGAGTGTATGAAACTCTTCAAAATAGAAGAAATTATTCTTTAAAACTTTAGATTAAATAATCACTATTAATTAATTTATTTTATTCACATTTTTGCTTTATTGTGGTCAATCAGTTTTTACTTTATGCGAAATTAAAAAATGTCACTGAAATACGTCACACATACGACGTCACACATAATAATTATGACCGAGGTGATTTAGCTCACAACTAACGTCTAAATGTGTGAGACTATCGATAGTGGTAATGTAGTGTATATTATAGGTTTCTATCGATTATTTCCCACCTCTACGAGTTTCATCTCTTTTTATTTCACAAGGCAACTGTGTTTTCTATCTCTTACGGTTAAAAGCCGGGTGGTAAAGCACTCATCACTGTATATTAGATATATGTATTAAAATTTAAAAAGCAACCTTCTTTTAGTGCTTGTTCCGTTTTTTATGGCTATAATATTATGGCGTTTTTTATGGCTGTATTGGGTAGCTTTTTTCATAATTTCAAATAGTTTATATCTATTGGTCAGGTTGAAGACTTTCAAAATTTCTAAATACAATAAGCGTTTCGATGGTTTGTTTGTGAATGCATTTGTTTTAAATGTGGCTTTTATAATTTTTAAGTGTATTTGGGGCTGGTCCAAGTGTAATATTCAAATAATTAAACGTAAAAATAATTAAACTGAAAACAAAAATAAAAATACTAAATTACATAAGATTTTTACTAAAATTATTTTCGTTTTTTTTCAGCTTGGAATGTATACACTGTCAATAATGACTGAAATCGCTCAAAGTTCTTACATAGTACATGCTGAATCTTTTGCTATATTATTTACAAATATTATAAATCAACTTACAGATCTAAAATTAAATGTAGGTTACTATACAATAATTACCATGAAAAATCTTGTGCCTGCCATAGGAGGTAACCAACAGGTGCGTATTTAAAATACATTTGTATGTGAAGTTATTTTCCACAAAAGTATCTTTTTTATTTTTATATATTGGTTTTAAAAACTTATCCCATCTTTTAGCGTTTATGTAAATCATGTTAGCCTAAAAACTTTGTTAGATAACGAAATGCTTGTTTGTTAGAAATATCGAAAATGCTTCTACTGTATGCATTTTTACTCTCTCTTCTCGTCTCTTATTTTTGTAAAATTAATTTTAAAGTTGCCCAACTTATTGTAACGAAGTCATTCGGTAAAAAGTCCGTTCTAATTACTCCTTCTACGTTGTCCTAAAATATTAATTGTCTATAATGTTGTAACGATACATTTTGCTTACCTCAGGGTAAGAACATGGGGGAGAAGATTGGGCAAACAAAATAAATCGAAACTAGTGCGTACGGCACTCGGTTGTTGGAGAGCTGGGTCGTGGATAAGTTGAAGATATGGGGGTTGGATTGAGGCAACTACAAAAAAAAAGAAATAAAGGGGTACTTAATCTCTTGGGATAAACAAAATAAAAATAAACAGGAAACACCTCAAGGAATTTAATATAGGGCGCCACTTGAGGTGCCTAATTATACCTATTACAACAACTAGTTGTAACTAGTCAAATAATTATAAAACATCAAAAATATATCTTTTTCAAATAAAACTCAAAAAAGATCAGAGAAACAAATTAAACGTTTATTTTTGTCTCAAACAAACATTTATCAAAAATATAGATTACAAAAGAAACATACTATATAACATAATACCAAATAACAAAAACTTCATGTTCTTTGTTTACATAAAAGATTGCTACAAAAATTTTTGAAATGGTTCCTAGGTTATAATGTGGCCAATTTAGATTATTAAAATTTTATGGATATCCTTTTTATGAAAATATTGTTGAATTTAACCTTACATATGGAACATCTTTTTACATATAATAATCAAATTTAATTTGTTTTACGACAACAATAGATTACAGCAAATGTCATATGTCAACATAACATTTTAAATCAGAATAAAATATGACATTTTTTAGCTACGACAAAAATAATATAAAGCTTTAATTATTACAAATTCTTTTATGTTTAATGAAAGCTATTATTAAAAATGTCTTTATAACTTGGAAAAAATTAATATATTAAGTTACCTCATTTCTCACTTGTTTCACTTAACTTTGCAACTTGTCAATATCCCTGGACATATTCTCCAACAGGAACAAAGAAACCATTTCCGTACTCAGGCAGGAACGATTGAAATAGGAACTTAGTGGAGTAATCAAGGTGACGACGGGGAAATTCTATATAATACTTTTCAAAAATTTCCAGTATCTATACAAATCTAATGACTACTCTGCCAAAACTGCTTATGCAAAGCAAAGAGTATTATCACTTTTAACTGGTCTTAAGACATTACTAAAAAATTGAATCGACTTTTCGATTCAAAATTGCCCCAGCATTATATATCCGCAAAAGCGTCTACCACCGTTTCAAATCTGTTGTTCCACCTACATTGTAACACGTCTGCTGTGTTTGAAATCTCTTCGTCGACTCCATCTGCGTTAAATTTTACAAATTCGACGCCAAATAAATTTCCCCTTTGCGTCTACAAAGCCTAAACAACCAAATATCCCCTTGTTATTCGTTCCTAACGATGAAAAACAAATAAAACCTCTTTTTTATATTAGGGGGCTTCATGTAATATAATCCCTTTATGCGACAAAAAACTTGTCGAAATAGATATAACATAATACAAATTAACAAAATAGCACGTAGTTTTTAAACCGGAGTTCTACTTGACTTTGTAACAGAAACAAACAACTATATTTTTATTTACAACATACATTTAACTTCTAGAAATTTTACTAAAAATTTACTGAAATGTTTACAACATACATTTAACTTCTAGAAATATTAAAAAAACTTGCCATATTAACGATCGTTTTCTTGGTAAAAACAAACAGGGACTTACTACAAAAATCTAAAATATAAAACGCTACAATGTCTATTGGCATTACCGTAAATTCGGGTTGCAATTTTTCCTGATTGAGGCAATATTTCATTTGGCTTGTGAGAGGATGGTCTCTTGACAAGAATGGAGACGACCCAAAGACATTTCAATAAGCAGAAAAAGCAGTTTTAACGAAAATAATTGATGGAAAATTTGAGAATGCAAATGACTAAAGAAACTTCTAAAAGAATTGAAGAATCTTCTAGAAAAAATAATGATAAATTCGAGAACGTTTCCAAAAGATTCGATGAAACGTCTCAAATTATTAAAGAAACAGCTAGACAAAACGACGAGAAATTCGAAAATGTATCTAGAAGATTCGAAGAGACTTCTCAAATAATTAAAGAAGTATGTATTCAGAACAATGAGAAATTTGAAGAAGTCTCAAAACATTCGATAAAGCAGAAGAGAAGATAAAACAGTTAGAGAGCATGATAACCAATACAAAAGTGCTACCACTAGTTAATACAGTAGCCTTATATTCGGTAGTGAAAGAAGAATCACCTAGAGACGAAACGACACATCATATGCGATTTAAATTGCCACCATTTGATGGAAAGTCTTCTTGGTCCATATACCTTAGACAATTTGAAGCTATTGCGACAGCCAATTCTTGGACAGATCAAGAAAAAGCTGTTTTGTTAACTGCTGCTTTACGAGGTGATGAAGGGTCAAGAAAAATGTTACCAGACCTTGTTCACTCTACTAAACAAACGTTACGGAGATGACCATCTACAACAAGTCTACAAGGCGCAACTAAGAAGTAGAATTCAATGAGCAAGTCAAAATTTGCAAGAGTTTGAAGCAGATGTTGGTCGTATAGTGCGGTTAGCTTATCCAAAGGCACCAGACAACATGTTGGAAGAAATTGCTGTAGATATCTAGAGTTCTAGATGAAGCGCTCGCTATTGCCTTGGAACATGAATCAGCTAGTCAAACTTCACGGACCCATCGAGTAAGAACCATTGAAGAAGGCGATGAACCAAACGATGAACGTCTGGAAGAAATTGCGAAAAGTAGTTCGTAACACGATGCCGAAGAGACGTGAGCCCAGATGTTGGAATTGTGGTGACGTGATCATATTCGCCGTAATTGCAAGAAAATGATAAGAGTCGGAAAACTAGAACGGGTCGACACCAAGGGGCAACTGCCGACCTCGAGAGACACGCCCCCATAGTAACTGTAAACATTACGTCCTCCGATGGAATTCATAGCTTGTACATCGAGGGTCGTATCAATAATAACTGTACATTGTTTTTGGTAGATACAGGTGCAACAAGAACAATTGCATGTCTAGAAGTAGTACGAGGCCATCTTAAATTATCGCCTGCACCTAGTGAGATAATTAATACATATGGCGAAGCTAAGATGTCAGTATCCATTGGCCACACAACAGTGAAACATAGATTATTAATTACAGAGATCTCCCGACGAGTTCATATTGTGAATGGATTTACTAAGGAAAGTTGGGACTGTATTGAATGTCAAAGATGGAGTTCTCGAGATCAGTGGCGAAAAGTTGCCATTTCATGAAGACAAAGAAGATGTTATCAGCTTAATAACTACTTGTGACGTAACAATACCCGGTAATAGTGGGAAAATTTTGATGACCAGGCCTGATGGTTACTGCCGAGAGGGAAGTTTAAGGATGATCGAAGATGTGAACACTGTCGAGTTATTAACGGCGAAAGCTTTGGTGAGAATTCGAGATGTCGTTCCTGTAAGAGTTATGAATTGGAGGAGAACCGCTATTAAGTTAAGTAAAAGAACTTTGATCGGACAGTGCGTTCCCGTGGCTTCGATTTGTTCTATGAATACTGTAACATTTTTTTATTATTAAAATATTAATTATTTTTAATTTCTTTTACCCCCGTGCGATACGTCGATGATTAGGAATTCCCGTGTTTACGATAAGAAAATAATATTGTGATACTAAATTATAATGGACTGCACTAATTACTAAAGGTAGTTAATCCTTTCCGTCTTAATACTCAGTATGAAAAGATCTAATGCTTTTGAGTATGCAGGTTCTTTTACATAAATTGATAATTTTCGCCGAAGGCCCGTATCTTTTGACAATATCCCAAGTATTGTCTGCTTCTCATGTCCAATTGTTGGTACCGGTAACTCAAAACTTTCGGAATTTTTTACTTCCTCAGAATTACCTACAACTGTCCGATGATTTTAAGTGGGGGATATAAGTTCTTCTTCTTTTTTCTTGGATAGTTGGTGAAGTGTTTAGTGGAACCAACTTCTCGGTGGGCTCTCGTTGAACACAGGTCGATTATCTCGTGAGACTTCTCGGTGGCTTCTCGTTGAGTGTGGTCGCTTGCCTGAAATTATCGTCTCTGTGAATTATTTTGTAAGTATGTATACACTCTATATTTCAGTTTTCTTGTCTTAGACTTCTTCTTCTTCGTCTAGCCATTCACGTCCACATCTGAACATAAGCCTCTTCAAGTCTTCCTTTCCATTGTTTTTTTATGGCTACTTGTAGCCAATTTTTCCCTTTTCAGATCATCTGTCCATCTCATAGGAGGTCTGCCTCTGGGTCTTTTGTGTTGGTATGGTCTCCAAGTTAAAATTGATCTGTGCCATTTGTTTAGATCGCTCCTAGCTACATGTCCAGCGTATTCCCATTTCAGCTTTAATGCTTTTTGCACCACATCGGTGACTTTGGTTTTCTGTCTTATCCATGTGTTTGTTTTCTTGTCCTTAAGTGATATACCTAGCATTGCTCTTTCCATCGCGTGTTGAGTGACTCTAAGTATATTCATATTCTTTTTTGTGATTGTCCATGTTTGTGCCGCATAAGTTAATATCGGAATAATGCATGCATCAAAAACTTTAGATCTAAGATGTAATTGAGTTTGTTGATTTCTGAGTATATAGTTCAGTTTACCGAATGCTGCCCAAGCTAACTTGGGCTATAGACTATATTAAGTTATATATAGTTCTACACTACCTTTAATGGTACCTAATTAAATTCAGTGTTGAATA